CCCCCCCCCTTCACCCTTCCCTCCCTTTTTTTTTTTTCCACCTCAGTGAGTAATTCACAGGGAAGAGTATATATACCTTGACCTGCTATCTGCCTTCTCCATCTGTGTTCCCACCAGGCGGGCACACCATCCCTGATGGCTCCTCTGGGTGAAGTTGGGAACTATTTCGGTGTGCAGGATGCTGTGTCTTTTGGGAATGTGCCCGTGTTGCCCGTGGATAACCCTGTGCTGTTAAGTGACCACCTGAGTCAGTCTGAGGCAGGGGGGCTGCCCAGAGGGTCTGCGGTCACTGACTTGGAACACTTAAAGGGAATTCTCAGAAGGAGGCAGTTGTACTGCAGGACTGGATACCATTTAGAGATCTTTCCGAATGGTACTATCCAGGGGACCAGGCAAGATCACAACAGATTTGGTAGGTATTGACCTATAGAACCATGTGTTTATTCTAATGTCCCATGCCAAGATCTGCAGGTCCATGCATGACCAGGTGTTTATTTCTTGGAATGGTCCCGGATGGGGATGGTTGCCTTTTAAATTTGCTGGGTGGGTGCCCTTACGTTTGCTGGGTGGGTGCCCTAAGGTTTCCTTGGGGTTACCCTTACGTTTGCTTGGGGGGTTACCCTTAAGTTGTCTGTGTGGGTGCCCTTAGGTTTCCTTGGAGTTGACCTTACGTTTGCTTGGGGGGGTTCCTTTAAATTTGCTTGGTGGGTGCCATAATGTTTGTTTAGGGGTTACCCTTAGGTTTGCTTGGGGTTACCCTGCTTGGGGGTTCCCCTTAAGTTTGCTTGATGGTTGCCTTTAAATTTGCTTGGGGGTTCCCCTTATGCCTGCTTGGGGGCTGCCTTTTTAAATTTGCTTGGGGGATCCCCCTAAGTTTGCTTGTTGGAGTCCTGTGGAACTTCGCTCCAAAGTTTTTGGTTCAGCTGTCAGAATTCGATCACCAAATTTCGCAGAATATGAGCGATGGCCATAGACCTGCGGAGAGGGAGGGAGGGAGGCCGGTGTCCCTCGTGTTTTGACAGCTGGCACTCCTTGCCCATCGATCGGTGAATTCTTCTTTTTAGAAATGGTTCTATTTCGGAGAGGTGTGGTCCGGGAGGGTGATAATCGGCACAGCACAAATGTCTGCCATTTGCTACCCAAATTCCAGGGCGATCTGCTGGAGGCATGGGATACACAATCCATAGACTGAACTCATTGTAAAAAAAAGAGCATGCCATTGCCTTTATTTCCATAGGGTGCTATTTGTGACTCAGCATTAAGAGCCGGAGACTGGAG